ACAGCCTGCTGCCAGTTCTCTCACTGCACAGCTGGGCCTGGGCAGGCCTTTCTCCTCCACCGTGCCCCAGATTCAGTCTCTGAAATCTAGCCCATGACCATTTTCTCTAGTTTAGCTCCAGACTGACCATTATCTGATCGCTCTAACAGCTTCTGCTGGGTCTCCCACTCCAAGGCAACTGCTCACCCACCTTGAATAAAGGTCAACTCTTCCACTCAAAACTTTCAGTGGTTTCTCTTGATATCACAACTAACCCTCCCCCCTCCCCCCGACTTTCAGAATCTCCCACAGATCAGAAGCCACCATCTCTGCGAGCACGTCTCCCATGAGCCACCAGGACACGAGGATGCCGTGTGGCTGTGCCTACTCCTTCCCCTGGGAAGGTAGTGGCTCTCCCTACTTCTGCAGAGCTGTCTGCCCAACTGTGCTGGAAGGACGACTCCTCACCACTGTGATATGGCAAGCACCTGCTCACCGATGACACGTCTAATGTAAGATGCAGACTGGCATCTTTATTAAAAATTGTTTAAAGGGGCAGATGGCCCTGACTGGTTTGGCTCAGTGGATAGAGTGTCAGCCTGTGGACTGAAGGGTCCCAGGTTCAATTCCGGTCAAGGGCATGTATTTTGGTTGCAGGCACATCCCCAGTAGGGGGTGTGCAGGAGGCAGCTGATCGATGTTTCTCTCCCATCGATGTTTCTAACTCTCTATCCCTCTCCCTTCCTCTCTGTAGAAAATCAATAAAATGTATTTTTTAAAAAAAGAATTACCACACATTTAAATGTACGTGACTTGTCCAAGATCATCAAAAGTTACTTATCTGTAAAGAACCTGTCTCTCTTAATCTAGTGTTCTTTTAATGAACTCATGTGAACATTTATTTGGGAGATATAATTCTTCCTGATGACTTACAAAATCAAGACTTTTATAATTCACTATGAAACCTATTGAATTCCTCAAAAAAAGTATGGTTTAAAGCTTCAGTGAAAGATCACCCAGACAGTCAAGCATCAACTATTGCAACAATGAACAAGAAACACTACAAAGGGAGCACATTTCTTTCGCAATGATTTCAGCCCAAGTAAAAGATGGACTTTTTGCTGCAGTTTCCTCTTATTTCTCATATTGTTTATTCTGACACATCTGATTCCTTACCTAAACACCTTACATCTAGCAAAAATTAAGCCAAAGACAAGTGGCTTACTAACCTGTTGGACAAGCACACATTTTTTGCAAAGTAATCTAACAGCACTGCATGTAAATTGAGAAAAAGAATTATGGCAGCTTACTAGTATTTATATTACAAGGCACTAATCACTTGCCAAGGACTGCGCTGATCACTGTAGAAATCTCATAACAATACAATCAGACAAGTAGTGTTATTCCCATTTTAAAGATAAGAAAATTTAGGCTGAGAAGTTAATAATTTTCTAGGTATCATTCCTAGTAGAGAGTCTAAGTTGTAGAGCCGAAATTGTCACTGCTGCTTTCTTCAAAGTTCACATGTAGCTCATCGTATAAGGACACAGTAATTACTAGTCTCTCCAATGTGAATCAAATTTGGGGGAAAAGAGAGAAACCTATTTATCTCTTTCTTCTCTTTCAAAGATATTGCAGTTTAGCATTACCTCCTTCATGATAGACAATCTCCTTTTCTCAAGGTTAGAAATTTCCGGTTTCTGCTTCTTCCATTTTCTCTTCAAAGCTTTTTCTTGGAGTTCCCAGTGTACTAGTGCTCTATTCTTCGATTTGTGTATTTCATGTCGGCGTATCTATATAGAAAAAAGCATATAAAATAATGTTTCGGGAACAAAGAAGGTGCCTATTTAGGTGGTAGGACCACCTAATATACTTCATCTTTTTTCATTTTTTCTGATTCAACATAGGTATATTTATATATATATTCACAGTCAAAATTTTTACAGTCTTCTGTATACAGAAGTACTAGACCTAGATAAAAGACAAAATAGAAAGTATATTAATTTCTATATTTGTAAGGACTAGCCAATAAACTAGTGCTTTTCAAACTGCATGCTAGGACTCATTTGATGATGGTAAAATCAACTAGTGGGTCAAAACCAACATATTTTAAATAAAATAGAATAGAAAACATTAAGACACATCATACATAATAAAGAATTGTTTTATTAAACTTTTCAGTTACATATGTATGTACAAGTACAATATGTACAATTACACACACTGACTGAGATAACCAAAGATCTTATATGCATATATGCATTACCTGTGGACACAGACAATAGGACGGCAAAGGCCTGGACCAGAGTGGGAAGCGGGTAGAGGGGGCCAATGTGGGACAAAAGGGGACATCTGTAATATTCTCATCAATAAAGATTTAAAAAATAAAATGCTTCAGCAAAGTTAGAAAAGGAGATGATAAATGAAGCCATTATGTAAAATTGTATTAACATTATACTGTATCTGGGTGAATACAGTATACTATATATGGGAGCTCTTTATAATTTTGTCTGCACTTTCACATGAGTCTGAAATTTTTCATAATTAAAAAAAATTTAATCAATTGAGTATCATTATTATCCTGAATGAATATTTAATGGATTAAATATTCCAGGAGCTACCAGGATTAAGATTCGTAGGTCCAGAAAGATATGGAAGATATGTTTTCTACTCCTCAAAAGCACTAATCATCTTCCCAGGGAAATTGGGTAAATACAAAGATCAACGATAGGTATTAGACAGGATATGCTCAATGCCTTACGTAGGTAGTAAATATAACACTTCAGAAGAGATAGCAAATGTTGAGCAGCTTCAAAAAGTAGGACTTCAAACTTACCACAAAGCTATAAAAATCAAGAGAGTGTGGTACTGGCATAAGGATAGACATATAGATCACTGAAATAGAATTGAAAGTCCAAAGTAAGCCCTTATATTATGGACAACTGATGTTCAACAAGGATGCTAAGAAAATTCAATAAGGATAAAATAGTCTTTTTTAACAAATGGTGCTTGGAAGACTGGATATCCATTTGCAAATGAATGAAGCTGGACCTCTACCTCACACTATATACAAAATTTAAATAAAAATGGATCAAACACCTAAACAATAAGAGCCAAAACTATAAAACTCTTAAAAGATATTTATATTTTTGATATTTATTTTATATATTTAAATGCCATTTAACAAAGAAAAATCAACCAAAAAAATTAGTTCACGTGTCACCTCTGACACGCGTGTCATAGGTTCGCCATCACTACAATAAATTCAATAAAAAAAATTTTTTAAACAATGAAAAAAAGAAGAAAACATAAGAGTAAATTAAATCTTTGAACTTTGGGCTAGATAATGGTTTCTTAGATATGACACTGAAAGCACAAGTAACAAAAATTAGATAAATTGCACTTGATCAAAATTAAAATCTTTCGTGCTTCAAAGGACATTATCAAGAAAGTGAAAAGACAACCAAAAGAATGTAAAAAAAATATTTGAAATCATTTCTCTCATAAGGAACTTGTATCCAGAATATATTAAAAAACTCTTACCACTCAACACTAAAAACACAAATAATTCAATTTTTAAAGTGGAAGAGGGAATAGAGGAGATAATAGCGATGGAAAAAATAAAATAAAAACAGAAAAAAATAAAATGACTAAAAGATTTGAATAGACATTACTCCAAAGATACCATGGCCATCATGACCAATAAGCACATGAAAAGCTCAAAAGGTATTCAACTGTTCAACATCATTAGTCATTAGGGAAATGCAAACCAAAACCACAAAGAGATTACATTTTATACCCACTAGGAGAATGAAAACCAAAAAGATGATAATACCAAATTGACAAGTACTGTGAAGAAATTGGAACCCTCATATATGCTAGTGAGACTATAAATTACAACCACTTTGGAGACAGTTTGGAAGTTACTCAGGAAGTTAAATAATATAGATATCATAAGTTGCAGCAATTCTGCTCACAGGTATATACCCAAGAGAACGGAGAACATATTTTCACACAAAAACTTTACATGAATGCTCATAGCAGCTTATTGATAACAGTAAAACAACCATTTGACTATTATGAATGTCCAGAACAACCCAAATGTCCAGAATAGTCAAATCCATAGAGACATAAAGTAGGTTAGTTGAAGCCAAGGATTTATTGAGAAGATGTGGGGGAGTGCATAGGAAATAATGGGTAGAGAGTTTCTTTTGTTGGGTGATGAAAATGTTCTATAATTAGAAAGTAATGATGGCTGCATAACTGTCAATATACTAAAAAAATTAAATTGTACACTTTAAGAGGCTGGATTTTATGGTGTGTGAATTATATCTCAATAAAGCTGTTTATTTTTTAAAAACTATATATATAGTAGAAACTTTAAAAAAATAAGACTTGAACTAGCATAAGGTAACAAAGGAAGATTTGGGCAGCTAAAGAAGAAAAGAGGGAAACTGTTGCAAGTAAGGAAAATAGAATTGGGACCCAAACACGGAAATATAAATGGCCTGTTCAAGGAATAAATTACTACACTGACTAGACCAGTATGTTTGTACAGGGAAGTAATCGTAAATAGTAATGCTGAAGATATCTATAGATAGGAAAAGATGACAGATGTATACAGGGCAATACTAGACTAGAGAAATCTAACTACGAAAATTCTAATACATGCTAATTGATATTCTTAGGTAAAATCAGGACGTCCAGAAGATATGCTTTTTGATTTTATATAGACATAAGCAAGATAAATATAACTTCTGAGAAGTACCTCTGGCTCCTATTCTGAAGGTTAGAAACCAAATATCAAATAAAATACTAAACAAATATTAACTTTTGATATTAAACTTACCAGATCTTCAGGAGTTGCCCGATGAACTGTTAGATCATTCACAGTATTCTGTAAAAAAAGATAAACTTCTTTTAAAGAAAAAAAAAGTTTCCTATAGAATATTAGTATTTACTGGATTTTTTAAATAGGGTTTTAAAGTTTATTCTTTAGACTAGATTAAAAAAAAATTGAAATCAGTTTTAGTTTCTTTTTTATGACATTGATTTTCCTTTTTTTCTTTACATGCCAGATGGATCGCAGTTAAAAGACTATATTTCACCCAGCAGGTGTGGCTCAGTGGTTGAGCCTCAACCCTTGAACCAGGAGGTCACGATTCAATTCCCGGTTTGGGCACATGACCAGGTTGCGGGCTCAGTCTTCAGTGGAGGGTGTGCAGGGGGCATTCTCATCATTGATGTTTCTATCTCTCTCTCTCTCCCTCTCCCATCATCTCTGAAATCAATAAAAATGTATATTTTTTAAAAGACTATATTTAATTAAGCATGCTACTCTCCAAGAAACCTTTCTTTGAAGAGTTAAAGGGGTTAGTCATCACATTTTAGCAAGATAAAATTTTTACTTTCAATTTAAATAAAATTATTGTATATTTTTACATAATATATAAAAGATGTATTTATTTAAATTGAAAAAAAATGAGATTTTTGTAATTCAAACTTACCATTTTTTTTCACATTTTTCAGAAAGTTATAACTATTAACAGATATTGTTTGTGTGTCTTTAGATGTATGTACTGGGTTTTTGTTTTTTGGGGTTTTTTTGGTAATCCTCACCTGAGGATATTTTCTCATTGATTTCTAGAGAAAGTGGATGAGAGAGGGAAAGACAGAGAAACATCAATGTGAGAGAAACACATCAATTCGTTGCCTCCTGCATGTACCCCAACCAGGGCCCCGGCCAGGGAGGAGCCTGCAACCAAGGCATGTGCCCTTAATTGGAAGCGAACCCGGGACCCTTTGGTGTGCAGGCTGATGCTCTATCTACTGAGCCAAACCAGCTAGCATTGTACTGGGTTTTAATGTCTGGAAATGAATTCAAATTCCTGGGACCAAAAAGTCTTTCTTGCCCTAACCGGCTTAGCTCAATGGATAAAGCGTTCAGCTTGCAGACTGAAGGATCCCAGGTTCTATTCCAGCCAAGGGCATATACCTGGGTTGCGGGTTTGATCCCCAGTAGGGGGCGTGCAGGAAGCAGTTGATCAATGATTCTCTCATCACTGATGTTTCTATCTCTCCTTCTCCTTTCCTTTCTGAAATAAAGAAATATATTTAAACAAAAAGCCTTTCTTTCCAGGAACCAGTATTCTCAATTTAAATATTAATATGGATTACTTTTAGGTATCTTGTAGAAAATTAAGTATCTTACAGAAAATAAGGACTACATTCACCAAGCAGATATACATTATATTAAAACAATGAATAAAGCAGGGTAGTATATAATTCAAATAAGTATAAGCTAAAACTGTAGTTTTCAGACTGCATTCCATGGAATGAGACACTTGTAAAAATTCCTAAAAGATAAACTGTGATCACTATAGAAAGGTTCAATTTGTGATCATGCAAACACCATAAGCATCGAACCTATCATAATAAGAGACAGAGTTTGTATAATTTCATAAAATGTGAAAATAGTCACTTAAGCAAAAAGGCACAAAACCAACATGGCAGGGACCACACTGCACAACTCAGGGAGGGACCATTAACACCCGTGTCTATGTATATAGTACTCCTGTGAAATCGTGCAGTGCTCAGCCTAGACAGCTGGAAATAGCAGTCCTGAAATCTGGGCCTTTCCATAATGACTTCAGCCATCGTGTTATACAGGCATGGTAAGGCAGGACATAAAACAAGCTAAAGTTTTACTCTTAAGAGAACTATAGAGAACTAAGTCTGGTGAAATAGCTGTTGATGTATTCAAAGACTTAAATTTTCAGCCGTAGTTTATATTTAGCTCAAGGCTTTTCTATGCTGAAACTATTATTCCTTTCATATTGATTTAGAAATGTACAAGATACAACTATAAGATCATGAGGATTTTTTTTAATAATCATAATAGAATTAAGGCATATAAGTAAGTGATATGCTTGGAATTAGTACTCGTGGGAGAAAATATAATTTCATTAATACTCCTGCAGCTTAAAACAATTTTCTTTTATAATTGCCTTTAAATCTAATTTACAAGCCATTTCAAAAAACATCTCACTGTTTTTATCAAAAGAACATTATTCAGTGTATCTCTCCTCCTTCATTTAACATTCACTCCAAATGACTTTTGAGTTCAGTCTACCTTCAAAAATCATATTTTTCCAGCACTGGAAATAATAAAAAGTAAATGAGAAAGGTTCTGATGTAATTTCACATGATAGGTTTCCATTATATTTTCAACAATAGTAGCATATCAGAATAAAAAGTGAACTTCCCAAAGTAACCACTCTGAAGGGGACAATATTTATATTAAAGTGTGCATTTTTTTCCTTTTCATCAGTTTTATTACATTAGAATCACACATTTATAAAAAATATTTTATAGCCAATCAGATGGCAACAAAGCAATGTAAACACAGAAACCCCTCTGTCCCACTTCCAAAGGCCACCAGTTTGCCCAGGATAACTGGCTAAAATGGTTGTTCACCACCCAGAAGACTCTAAGTCTAAAAGAATCCCTGATTTCCAAACCAGTCCCTGACTAGTTACTCTCCACAACAGGAAGCAAAAGCACCTAAAGTCTCACAGTCCAAACCCAAGTACCAGGCCACAAAAGACAAAAATCCCCTTGGTGATACCAGGCAGTATGCAGCATAGAAGCCATGGATCATGCCCAGGTACTTAAGACTATCTTTTTATCTTAAGAGAAGCTTTGTACTGCAAGTGACTCCCCTCTGGAGATGAGCAACAAACAATTTGAGGGGTAAGAGAGCATGGATCACCCACTTTTTCAGCCAAAAATGCCACTCATGTGATTACGGCATCACTGGTTAATACAGGGAAATCTAAAAAACTACCCCCAAAATTCAGACATCAGTGACACAGGTTAGCTAGAGTGGCCTTAAAGTAGAGGTAGAGGCAATTTTAAAAAATAAAAACATAAAAACACTCCCCAACTTCTTAAGGTTACAGTTCTTCAAAAGAAGTAGAGGGTACAGCCTCAATTCCTATATTCTAAAAAAAAACTCCCCAAAGGATTCTGCTCTTCCCGCCAAGACCTAGAACGTAACATGCCCAGAAACCCATTCCACCCTATTACATGCTGCACCCGATTCAGAATGCCATTCTGAGTGACTAGGGCCATGTCAGCACACCTATTCCTCAAAGTAACATTGCATTGCTTCTCCTGCCACCTAGACTTACATCCCATTCTTGCTTCACTGCCGTTTTCTTCTTTACTTTCAGTGCTTTCCTTCCTCCTCCCCGGGAGCTGTAACGGTTCACTCGGACAAATGACATCTAGGAGTAATAATCATATCAAATTCTTAATATATAAGAGAAACTAGTAATTAAGCATCACTAGAGGAGGTGGAGGGGGAACAGATGTAGGAAAATAAGTTTTAAAACATCAGAAGAAAAATTTAAGCATAATGAAAGGAACAAACTATCAAAAAACTTGGTTCTTTTACTTCACAATTAATAGAAAACTGTGATAGTTAACTATAATAAAAAGAATTTCAAAGCAATAGCTTGTATCTATTTGCTTAGTAAAAAATGTCTAGGAATGCAGATATTATGACCTAAAGCAGAGTGCTAGAACAGTAGCAATAAGGTTTGTCATCAGTTATATAAATTCACAAATAATATAGAAAATGTCAGTCACATGATAACAGTATGAATGCAAGAGGAGGAAGGCAAAAGAGGGAGTTCTTTTTTTAAGCACTCTAACACTCAAATCACTATTAGATACATATGTGCTTAGTATAAATAAAGGCAGCAAAACTTTAGAGAACAAATGAATTATGGTACCATTTCTATAATACTAAATGGAGGTGATTAATCTAAACTAGAATTTGGAAATGGCCAACATTTGATCAGCACTCTTACAATAGCAATACTAAGGACACTGGACTAAACATTATATAAAATTTTAAAAAGACTCACAGTCCCTGAACACTA